TTAATATGTGTCTTGAAGTCCAATATTAACATTTTAATGAAATTGGGTGGGTCATAGTTTGGGTGTGTATGTGTTTAGGACTGTAATGTTTTCTTGGTAAATTGTTCTGTTAATCAGAATAAAATGTCCTTTATCTCCTCTGATTAATCTTAGTTTGAAGTCTACTTTATTAGATATTAGAACAGCAACTCCTGCTTGTTTCCTGGCCCCATTTGCTCGGAATGCTGTTCTTCATCCTTTCATTGTAAGGTTGTATCTCTCCTTGAAGGTAAGCTGTGTTTTTCTGTTGACAGCAAAAAGATGAATTTTGTTTCTTATTCAATTACCTTTGTCTTTTGATTGGGGAGTTCAAGTCATTAGTGTTTAAACTTATTGTTGAAAGTGTATTTTGATTGCTGTCACTTTGAGTTTGCTTTTGCTGTTTGCACTTAGTCCTATTCTGCATTTCCATAATTATGGCTTCATTTGCTTTCTTTCTGTAGCTCTTGGCTATGCTTATTCCTCCCTTCTGTCCAAATATTTCCTCCAGGATCCTCTGTACGGTTGGTTTGATGGACATGAATTATTTTAACCTGTTTATAGCATGGAAAGTTTTTCTTTCCCCTTCAACTACGGCAGAGTTGGAAAGGTGGGAGATGCTGGAATTCAGGATGTTGTATATCAGGATCCCTGGAAGGCTGTTTCAGACACCACATGCTGTGCTACTACTGGGGTAATGGTAGTAGTAGATTGTGACCTATTGTGTGTCTCAAACATATGAGAAATCCAATCCCATTAGAGAAATCTATTACCCAGGACCACTTCTGGGTCAAAACTTTCAGGTCATTCAGAGTTCCAAAAAGAAATAGACGACCCTTAAACTGGAATCACTTGAAAAGGACTTGATAGAGAAGTTATTTACAAAGATGTGGATGGGGACAGAAAAGCCATGGTGTACTTTGGTAATCTAAGGTAATAACTGTGGTTACAGCTTGTTTCCCACACCTGTGTAAGCAAAGCCACGGACAGCCAACTTGAGAGATGCTAAAGCTGTTGGTTGAGGCACACATGGAGACAACCCTTAGCTTTCCTTCCTTCCAAAGTCCCAAGGCCACCCCCAGAGCCTCTACCCAGGCCGAAGCCAGAGGCCAGCAACACCCTTGTCAGAGCCCATATGTGTGTCTGAAAGGACAAGCTTGTGATTTTTTTTTCTCACGTGGCTTTGGCAAATGTTTTTCTGTCAAAGTTTTGTCAAATTCACTGAACAGTGAGTTGAACTGCATACACACAGCTGATATTCTCTGGAAGAGTTTACACAAGTTGGGAATGATATGTTCCCTCAAAGCTTGAGGGAATTAGCTGTTAAGACCTTCTGAGCCTCAAGGATATGTTTGGGAAGATTTTCAATTACAGATTCCATTTACTTAATAGCTTTAGAACTATTTTTTTCCATTTCTTCTTGCAATCTGATAAGTTAAATTTTGGGGGAAAACATCCATTTCCTCTAAACTAAATTCATTGGTATGAGGTTCTTATTATCTTTTGGCATCTTCGGGCTCTGGGATGACATTCTCACTACTTATATCAGCCGGTGTCTTTTCTCTAGTCTCAGGGGAGCTTATATTTAGACCTAGATTTGGCAAGCATCCTGCTTTGGGTCTACCGTATTCTTTCTGGTTGTTGTTTCTTTTTATTTCCTTCCCTTAACTTCCTTTTCCTTTCACTGGGCTTGCTTTGCTAGAGTGGAAAGGCTTGTTTTGTGAGAGTGGAGGTACCAGGAAGAACGTTGCAGGAAGGATCAACGTCTTGCAATGAGGTGTGTGCGATGACAGGCACACTCGGGCAGAAGCCCCATCCAGGCTCTCCCTGCCCTGCTGCAGCACCTTCAGCCCCAGCTCCAGCTTCTCTGGTCCATCCTCTTCTAAAGCAGCTCCTAGAAGGACAGCAGAGCGCCCACCTTACCCTCTCCCCTCAGTGGCTCCAGCACTTGGTATTCCCAAAGCAAGGGAACCGTGTCCTCCCCCTCAGCCTGAAGGGCAGAAATACATGGTTGGTGGCATGGCATCCAATGTGTGGTTTGGAAAGCCCCTGTCATCATCAGAGCCTAATCAGATCTGCCCACATATTGGGCTTCCACATTCAACTTGGCTTGAAAAAAGACATAGCTACATGGAAGTCTGAAAGAGCTTTGATGATTAAGTGAAAACTGGCTAGCTTAACCCTCCAGCTTCACCTCTTTCTTCCAATGAGGCTGTGGGCAAGTTTTATTAATCTCTCTGTGCCTCAATTTCTTCATCTGTCAAATGGACATCATACTAAAGGTGTGCTCAAAACTGAGCATATAGCGTGGGAAAACCCTCTGCACCGCCTTCTTTCATGGTTTCCTTTTCTCACATTGGAGGAAGGAAGCACGAACAGATCCTTGGCTGGCTGCCTACAGGGCTTTCAAAGCCAAACCCATAGCTGTTTCTGTGGTGCCTCTGATCATCCCAAGTTCTGCAGATCTGGGGCTGTATCCAGGACCTGTCCATTGACCATGCCTCAATCTTCCCCAGGTGCCAAGGATGCACCCCCATCATGCAGCCAATGAAAAAGAGTTTGAGATCCTGAGTCACAGGTCACAGGCCTCACACAACCTCGGCCTAATGCAGGAGCTCCAGACATAGGATGGATCAGAGCTGCCTCTGCCTCACTTTGCCTTGTCCTATGGATGATGCTGTTGCAACCCACATGAGAAACCTTGCACGCCCCTCAAAGCCTTTTCTCTGTGCTCTTATTTCCAGCTATGGCCAGGCCCTGAACGCTTCCTGCTTTACAGGAAGAATCCCCTTGAGAGAGCTGAAGAGCCATCAGCTCAGCAACACCTGTCCCCAGGAGGCTGTCACATGGGTAGGAAGTCACATCATAGAAAAGCCTTGCTTACTAATGCCTCCCCACCTCTTCCTTAGAAGGCAGATGCCAACCAGACAGTGGTCCAAGGCTGAATATAAAATCTAAGCCTCCCCTTATTATAGTACAGATGTGCCCAGAGAGGCCTGGGAACTTCCCACTATTGCCCTGCCCCTTGAGTGGTCACAATCTCTCACCAGGGGGGTTTCAGATGGGTCACATAGAACATCAGCCTCCTCTGGAGGATCATTCTTTCCATACACCAATGCAACCTTTTGCCTGCACTGGTGGGCCCACTTGGAGATGTGAATGGACTTCAGGGGCATCCTCAGAGGGCTCCTTTTAACTGTGGCTCTCCATCCCCAGCTTCCACCCCTCACTAGACAAGTGTGTCCATCCCCAGCAGAAGTGGGTCGAAGACACTGCAACACCTGGACCAGAACCTCACCCCTGAGGACCTGTTTTTCCACTCATACCAAGACCCCACCAGAAAGCGAGAAGTAGTAGTTTCATCCTCCTCCCAGCCTTCCCATTATACTCTGGAATAATGTGACTGTTTCTAATAGGAAACATAGAGTATCTTTAGGAATGCTTACTATTGTTTGAATTCTTACTGGTTTGGATTATATTTTGGTCTGTTTTCATGGGGCTGGGCATTGGACCCAGGGCTTTGTGCATACTAAGTAAGTGTTTTACTATTAAACTACACCCTCAGTTCAAACATGTTTATTAAAAGCAAGGCCTAGAACAAGTTGATTCTTGACCCTGAGCCCCAGTCCTTGACCTTGTAAGCAGGGTAGGTTTTCTTCCAGTTTTCAGGGTCGAACTGTGTGCCTGAAGGAAAAGTGAAAGGACACGGTGTCTTAGGGAGTCAACACATTATGAATATGAGGTTTGCTAAATATGCAACAGGATAGCAAATGCCGTAAGAGGGTCCCTCAAGTTTTGCAGAAAATGTATGTCTTCTTCAGGGATAACGTTCAACTAGTAGGGGGAGCTCTGGGGTCAGGTGGATAATGAAGCACGGCAGAGGTAATGGGATGTTGCTGGGCTCTGTCTATATGGTTAGTCAGATCTCCTCCCAGTGCTTGGGGGACTAGGCTAGAACAATGCCTCCAACATGTGCGTCTCTGCTCTGAGGCCTTTTGTTTCGTGTTCATGGCACACTGCCATTCCTTTCCGTCCAGACCGTCCACTCCTGCCTGAAGTCTCTCTCCTGGGCCTATTCCAGTCATCTTCCTTTGAAATTATCTAAGTTCATCTTTATTTTATTTTACCTGTATGAGTATGTGAGTGCACCTGTATTCTGCAATGCCCACAGAAACCAAAAGAGGGCATCAGATTCCCTGGAACTGGAGTTATCCCTGGTTCTTAATTGCCATGTGGGTGTTGGGAACCTGGTCCTCTGCAAGAGCAGCCAGTGCTCTTAACGACTGAGCCATCTCTCCAGCCCCTACTCCAGACATCTAAACTTCCCCATGCCCTCTGCCAGCCTGAAGTTTTGACCCTGACATTCTCTGTGTTCCTCTCCAGACTTGGATCATCTCATCTATAAACCGGAACTGGTAACATCTTACATGCACACACATGCTCCCCCCCACACAGCTAGGGAACAGAATGACAATCATCCCTCCAGAGGAGGGCAGGGAGGGAGAAGGCCCCGAACCCCAATGTAGACCCAGCCCTGGACTCAACTGATTATCCCCACTCTGTCTCTTTCAGCTACTAAACCTGGAGCAGAGGTCATACCACAGCCTGAGTCAAAGCTTACCCTAGGACAAAGGCAGTGCTGGAAGACAGTGAGTTATATATCAATTGTACTGTGGTTTGTCCGAAGACCAGGTCCAATATGTCTCCCTCCCCTCCTCAGCCCTCCAGCCCCTGTGTTCTAGCAGTGCGGGTCAAGTCCACCCCCTGATATCCCTCCCCATGATGTCCAAGAAACACAGGCAGGAGTAGTTGAAGATTCCATAATTTAACCAGATAAAGTGCCACAGCATAGCTTATCACATGACTGAGATCTGTGAGCCTGCAAAGGTGGGCAGAGGAGCCTGCAAATGGTGGTGGTTGGAGGCTCGGGGACAAGTGAAACTGCAGTCTCCAGAAGCAGGGTGCTGCGACACAGCAACTCTTCACCTCAGCAGGCAGGGTTTCACCTTCTGCAAGTAATCTTGAACCCATGCAGTGGTGTTGGAGGCGCAGCTTTCTCTGCCTTTCTTCAGCCTAAATCTGTGAACAGAGATCACAGGCAAGGACTTAGCCACCAAGTCACCCACTGGGAACCCGCTCCATCCTCATCTCCACTTCTGTGAGATTAGAGGCCCCTGAGCTTCCCCTTTGTAAATGAAATGGCTCCAAGCGCATGAGATCTGCAGCTCACAAGGTGGCATCACACGCAGGGTGTCAGGAACTTATTAAGGGGATCCCTGGACTCTGTCCTGGAGATTAGGATTCCCTGTATAGGAGTGGGACAAACAGGTGGGTGACATCCTGATGAATAGCTGGTATGAAACTCCCCCATCCTAGAGCTCCTCAGGAACTCTCTGTCTGGCTTTGTATGTGTCTCTGTCCCTTTGGGACCCACTCATTGTTCTAGGCTCCTGAGGGGTGTGTGTGTGTGTGTGTGAGTGTGTGTGTGTGTGTGTGCGTGTGCGTGCATGTTTCTTCTCTGTCTGCCCACATCCTAACTTGAGTATTGCTCAGTCCCTAGCCAAACTCTGCCTCTTATGATCTGGATGATCTTAGAAAAGTATTTCTGCCTTTTGGAACCTCAGTTTTCCTCATAACAAAAAATGTGTGTCCCAAGAGGGTCAGCAGGATTCCTGATAGAAAAGTACCTTAGAATGCTGGCTTATGCTGTGTGAGCCTCAGGTTTTTACTAACCCTATGAGCAGGCATCTCCTTAGCCCTCTTCACAGAGAAGAATCAGATCACCAAGTATGGACAAATTCCTTATCCAAGGTCTTCCAAGACCACAGGCTGGCAAATGCAGAGGTTTTGTGTGCGTGTGTGTGTGTGTGTGTGTGTGTGTGTGTGTGTGTTGTATACCTGCATGCAGTATGTATGCAGATGCATGTGGCAGCCAGAGGTTGACAGTGAGGGTTCTTCCTCAATCAATTTTCCATCTAATTTTCGAAGGCATGGTCTCTCATTGAACCTGGATCTTATTGTTATGGCTAGACTGGCTAGCCAGGGTTCTCCCAGGGTCTGCCTGTCTCTGCCTCACTCCTCTCACCTAGAGCATGGGATTACAAACACCCACACCCCTGCCTGGCTTTTTACGTGGCGCTGGGGATACAACAAACTCGGGTCAGCATGCTTAAGCAACACTACCCACTGAGCCAACGCTCCGGACCGTCTGTTGCTTTTGTATATTATATACAGCTGGAGCCCGGTGGAGATAGGAGAAACATAAATCAATGCTGGGAAGACCGGTGCTCCTCCTAGCGTCCAGCTGCAGTACTGCACTGCAGTTTCCGTGGCCTGGCTGGCTGGGTTTAGAGCTCTTATTCTGGTGGAGCAGCGCCATCTAGTGTCTGCTATTCTCATTCCGCCAGGCGGTTTCCCGCCCCAGGGGGAGAAGCCGCGGGCAGGTGCTCACTCACACCACTGCTGCATGGGGACAGGTGGAGCTGATTCGTCTGTAACACTGGATTAATTTCTGCTGAGGCTTTTTCTTCAGAAATGAGAAGCAGCAGCGAGAGGAGGACACGTGCACTAGAAAAGAAGCACAAAAGACAGCTAGCACCCATTTCTCAGCCCCTCACCGACAGGACTGAAAAACAAACCCCACAAAGCCCCTCGCGGGACAGGCCCAAGCATGCAGACCACATCCAGAGGACCGCAGCCGGTGTCCCTGTCCCTGTCTCAGCAACTTCCCATTTCTGAACACTCTAAAGACTGGGGTTCAGATTCACACACACACACACACACACACACACACTCAGGCGCGCGCAAATCAACAGGTGGCGGAGACACTAACCATAAGCCAGCCTGGGCCGGTGGCCCAACCCAGACCCCCATCCCTAAAGTAAAACTGTTCATACCACTTCTACAAGCTCCAGTTCTCACCTTCCACCACAAGCGTACAGCTAAGCCCCAGTATTTGGGTGCAGGGGCTCTGGACCCTACGTCCTGGGGAACCTGTCACCTCGATGCACACAGGCTATTGTGGTCCCTGGTTTACAGACATGAGGCCAGTTGCTCCATGTACAAGGAGCTCAGAAACAAATGAAACAGCTCCCAAGAGGTCACTAGTCCCCCTCCCCTGCAAGACTCCCACATCCCCTACCTCCCTGACCCTCACCTCTTTGTACATGCTACTAGTATACACTCCCCTCCCTACATTCCACCACCAACAGCCCTGTATTCTAATCCTGGCTCCTTCCTTGCACCTTACTATTCACAGAACCCCTCAGGTTCTTTGCTAGGTCAGTGTTCTCCCTGGACCATGGGCATCTCTAACTCAATTTAGTCAACCAAAAACCTATGTTGTAGAAGACAAATGACTTGCCCAGGGTTCAGTAGCTATTAGAGTCCCTGCTTCTGCCTTCAGACTCTCTCTCTGCCTGTCATCTGTCACACTATGGAGGTTAGACCCAGAACTTCTTCTGGACCTCAGGACTTCCAGCTAGATCTGAACAGCCTCACGGTCCCCTCCAGCAGTCTGCAGGGTGGAGACCTGCAGGTGGAACCTTCACAGGTTGGAGCTGGTGGCTCACCTCTCAAAAAGCTAAAATCCCTCCTAGGACAGATCCAGGCCTTGGCGCTACATCCAGGAGACACTGGCCCAGCCCTGTCTCTACAACTACCCAGTTCTGGGGTGAGGAAAAGAATCATAATGGAGTTCAGGTCTGAGCTCCCCACAAAGCAGTAGATGGGTCCCCCTGGCCCATGGTTCTCCACCTTGCACGATGCTCCCAGTCCATCCAGAGCCTCCATTCCTCCTCTTCAGGAAGGAGCAGAGATGGAGCCAGTGCGGCCACAGTGAACCCTACTCCACCACAGAGCACCTGCCTGGACACCTGCCCTCTCCAGGAACAAACACAGGGCTCCCATCACACTCACTGCTCTTGCTGTCCACATCTTGTGGCCACACTGCAGCCAACAGCAGGCACATGAGGGTCACAGTGATAAGCTTCATGGTGACGAGTGTCTGGGTCAGGCCTCTCTGGAGCTACCACAGTGTGTCTGATGAAGCCAAGAGTTCTCCCTGCCCCATCCTATGGCTGCCCACCGCTTTTATCAGAAGGCCTGGGTGGGGTTTCCCAGGCCATGGGGGAAGAGGTGGGAGTCCTAGGGAGAAGAGACTCATACCCCATATGCAGTGACCACATGGAAAACTCCTTCCCTCACCTCTCCTGGGGAGTACTGGAGGTATGTTTGGGTGCCCCAAGTGGCCTTGGGAAGTTCCCCCAAGTGCAAGAGCAGATAAAGATCTTGAAAAAGTACATGGGAGCTGTCCTGGCCGAGTGGAAAGTCAAGAAAGGTGAAAGAGAGGAAGTGGCCTGTGTGCGGCTCTTCTAACCCACGCCATAGCGGCTACAGCCCCTGGAACAGCAGAGTGGCAGAGCTGTGAACCTGCACTGGATCAAGCTTGTGTTTGCATCCCAGCTCTGCCAACAGCCATTACACAAACTCATTGGAGATGTACCTCCCTGTGGAGTGGAATTCAGTACATGTCTCAAACGTGGGCAATAAGAGTGAAATAAAGGGCTGGGAGATAGGTCTGTTAGCAAAGTGCGTTCTGTGCCAACATGAGGACCTGAGTTTGAGGCCCTAGAAGCCACTCACTAAAAAGCCAGGCATGGTGGCACATGCTTGTAATCTCAGCCCTGGAGAGGCTGAGCCAGGCAGAACCCTGCTGCTGCTTGGCCAGGCAGCCTAGCCTACTTGGTGAACTCCAGGTCAGTGAGAGGCCCTATCTCAAAAAACAAGGTGATGACTTCCAAGGAACAACCCCGAGGTTGACTCTGGCCTCCACGTGCACACACACACACACACATGCACATACATGTATATCCCACATATGTGTATATCCCACACATAAGTGTGCACAGATGCATACCCCCTACACG